GTTTGATAATTGGGTTTTTCGGTACTCAGTCTTATTGGATGGTGGAGTTTTTCGTTACTCCATCCTGTGTGATGATCGAGTTTTTTATTTCTCAATCCCGACTGATGATCGAGTTTTTGTTACTCAATACCGGTTGTTCCGAAGGCCTATTTGTTTGTTGTTGATCAAGTTTTTCGTTACTCGATCCCGTTTGTTCCTAAGGCCGTCTGTTGTTCCTGAGACCGTCTGTTGTTCTTGATGCTCGTTGATCTGCCATTACAATCTGTGCTTGTTGTTCAAGCAATCTGAGCATGAAGATCACGATTTCTAACAGTCATACGTTGCAGCTGAAGACCTGAAGTTCGAACTCAGTTCTTTTGTGCCACTTATTGTTCAAACTTGAGCTGCTTTATGTCAAATCATATCGAGTTTGAGGGAGAGTGTGAATAATTATAAAAACCGTGAACAATTATAAAAACTGTATAACTGTGAACAGTTATAGAAACTGTATATTCATGTATAAATCCGCCATTGTAAATCAAGTTTACAAGATAATAGAAACATCATCTTCTCACAGGTTTTATTGTGTTCTTCTATTTGCTCTTGCAATTTCTTAGAGCATTGTATCATTGGAATATTCACTTTGTCAAAATGGATTGACGTTCTTGAGATGGGTTTATTCCAATTTGTCAGTAGGCAAGACAAAATTTGGAAAAGAAAAATCATCAATGGACCTGATCACACAGAGTCAAAATTAAGCACGCTTATGAATGAATATAACAATGGTGGCTTACCTAATTATAAGCCCTGGCCATTTGAGATGAGCAAATAAAAGCTTTAGTTGATGTGATTTGGGGTGAGCGAGAGATTGTGATTTAGGGAGGGAGGTTGGAGAAAAATGGAAAGAGATAGATTTGGGGGAATATAAGAGAGAGAGATTCGGGGAAGCACGAGGGAGAGAGAGAAATTTAAGGAATCACAAGAGAGATGGATTTGGGGAAGCACGGGGAAAGTGAGAAAAGATGGAAAAAAGGAAGAGGGAGAGGACTTGAAAAAGCAAGGGAGAGAGAGGATAGAGAAAAATGGAGAGAGAGATAAAGAGGGGTTTGGGAGATTCATAGAGAAAGAAAGAGAAACACGTGAGAAGAGGAAAAAATGTCTAGGGGTTTAGAAGATAGGTTTTGAAACCTTGGGTTAAAAAGTTATCTAAGGGGTTAGAAGATAGGTTTTGAAACTTTGGGTTTTTGAAACTTTGGATTAAAAACTTTGGGTTAAAAAGTTGTCTAGGGGGTTAGAAGATAGGTTTTGAAACTTTGGGCTTTAAAAAAAATAGATTTAAAAATAAGGTCTATAGAGATATTTTCCCTAATTATAAAGGGAAATTATCACAAATATAGTTTAATTTTTGCTTAATTGGAAAAAAACCTTTAAACTTTCATAAACCTCGTCCACACCTTTTTTTTTCAATTTTGGTTTTTTTTTTTTTATCAAAATAGCCTTTACGGTAGTAGTATTACTATAATAATTATCGCATTATGGTACTTTAAGAACCGTAATGATCAGACTAAACATTACAATACTTTATGTACTATAATAACCAGGTTAAGAATTACGGTACTTTTAGTACCGCAATGACCAATCTAAGTATTACGGTACTTTAAAGACCGTAATGCTCAAATGTGATAAATGAAGGAGAAAGAGCCCCAGTGAGCATTATGGTCTTTAAAATATCATAATGTTTAACTTGGTCATTACGGTATTTAAAGCACCATAATGCGGTAGTCATTACAGTAATACGACTATCGTGAATGTTATTTTGATAAAAAATACCAAAATTGAGAAAAAATGATGCAGATGAGGTTTATGAAAGTTGAAGTTTTTTTCCAATTAGCCGAAAATTAAGATACATTCTGATAATTTCTCAATTATAAAATTTAAAGTTCAAAATTTGTGTACATCAAGAAGATTTATGAACACTTGAAAATCTTGAAAATTGACGGTCTAGATAATATAATACAAGATGCATCATTTTCAAGACTCAAAAGCCATTTTAATCATATACATACATCTTAAGGTCGACATGATATTGAGGATTTTTCAGTATGGAAACAATTTTCCAATGAATTTTTTATATGCGCCTCAATTTGATTGTTTTAGGGCATCATCATTATATAAATTTTTTCCTTTTAAAAAGGAGGATTATCGAAAGGTCACAATCAACCCTACCTATCTTTAAAAGCTTGGACTATATTTCAAATCTCGAAAATAAAAAATTGTGGAATTTAAGCCAAGTTAATCGCACGCTTCCAACCGTGTGTACTTTAACACGCTGATAATGATTGTTACTTCTTGTACCAAAAGAAATAATCTTATCCTATACTTTCGTTTAGAAGATATCCCCCATATTTTGAATTTTCACTTATGCACTTTTCTTTTTCTTTTCTCAAAATATCTCACTTTAGAACTCCAAGTTCACACACAGTCTCTTTTTTTTTTTTTGGAACTTCAGAGGTTCTTAAGTGAATTTTTTGTTGACAAACACCGGACAAAACATGAAGTACCAATCATATCATTTAAATTTTTTGAAAAATACAAAACTTGTGTCGGACCCATTTTTTAACAAATTTTGTGTAGAAATCCAAGTAGGAAGTTGGAGATTCACCCTTAAACAATCAAAGTAAACGCACCTCCATACTTTGTCAAAAACATGTAATTTTAGTGTAATTTTTTTTTTTAGATAACGTAAAAATCTATTTTTTTTTTATTGTAAAATTGTAAACTACAGCAATGGTTTAAGATCAAGCAAATCTATAAACATTTGAAAATTTTAAAAATCGGTAGTTTTACAAATTACACTATATTTTATACTTAATTTTTTTTTTTTCATTTCTATATATCCATATATCTCGATGTCAAGATAATCAATTAGAGAGTTTTTCAATCTCCAAACAATAAGGTTGACCCCTTGTATAAACTTTTTCATACCCCGAATGAAAATTGTGCTCCTCCGGGGACACTATATTTTCATCCATGCATTTTCCAAAGTTCAATTTCCCAAAATTTATGTATATCTCTTGGACAAGCTTCCTATGCTTCCCCTTGTTTTAAAAATCGGCGAGTCGAACCGGACTCGCCTGGTTCGACTTAAAAACCGGCACAGCCTGTACCTGTTCCATCATAAAACCGGGAACCGCCTGATTCTAGAGTAGAACCGCGGTTCCCATTCGATTTAGCTGGTTCAGGCACGTGCTCTCGTTCATCCGTGCGCACGTGCAAGGTTGCCCCAATATTTTTGCACATCGCCCGCTTTTAGAAGAGAATCGGCGATTCTGGCCGAATCACTGTATAGAATCGGATGGTGACGTCATGTCTCGGCATGTATGACGTTTCCAAGAGTAATTGGGATATTTTTCTTAAAAATAAAGGCAATTTTCGACATTGTTGGACGGCAGCACTACATTCACATATAATCGCGTGTTACCCCATGTATCGTTTGCTCGCACGCTGTTGGAGAGCTCATCCTCACATCTTTTATAAACTTGGAAGTCGCTTGATATTTCCGATGTGGGACAATTCCCACTTGCCTTCAACAGCGTGCAAGCCATCGTCACACAAGCCATTACCTAATAAACGGCCATATAATTTTTCCAAGCCATTAACTATTGCAAGCCATTGTCCATATGTGTAGCGTTTTAATTTAGCGTGTCAAATTAATAGCACTAATAAACGGCTATATAAAATTAAAAAATAAATTAATAGCACTCATTAATTTAGTTTGTCAAATTTAAAAATAGCCATATAATTTTTTTTGATGTTTATTAGTAAAATAGTTTTTTCGATGGGTTTTATTACAATATTTTATTTTTATTTTTATTTTTTTGTAGCTATTGTGCATATTGCTGATAGGATTTTTTTTTTGAATTTTGGCATCTTTATTTTTCATTTTTTTGGGTAAAGTTATTTTGAATTTTTTAATATAATTACATTAGAATTTATTGGTGGTTTTATTTTTAATTTTAGTCATATGATATGGAAGCCCCTTCTAATAATTTTTTAATCACTTTTCAATTAGATAATATTCTAAAATATTTTTAATTTGTTATTATTTGTCTAATAAAATAATTATAAATGTAAACTAATAATTATAATTTCAGTATATAATATTATAATTAGTTAGATTGTAATAATTTTGGATTATAGTTAGTTAGGCTGTAATAATTTGGGTTTTTTTTAGCGGATTAAGGTTTTTCGCCAAAACGATATTTTAATGGCCATTCTTTCATTGATTAGTCTACACTTTATAATAGTCCATGTATAATTATATATTTTATCCATGATAATTCTATGATTTTTTTTTATGTGATGTAAATTTAATATTTATGTTTATATAGGGAAAGAGTATCTCAATATATACAAATTGATGAGAGAAATGAAAGTTAATGATGTAGTACCCTCATTTCTTATTGGATTCCTAAAAAACAACATTTATAATGAATTTTAATCATTTTTTTGGATTTTTTTGAAGCTTTAATCCGACCGATTCAGCCGATTCCCGATCCAGATGGCCGATTCGCCTATCTAGATCGGTTTTTGAGATGCCCGATCGGGGTCACCGATCCGCTTTTTAAACCATTGCCAGCAGCATAAAAGTTACATACTTTCATTTATCCAATTGCCTACAACATAAAACTTACATACTTTCATTTATCCAATTGTTCATTCTAAATGGATGCTCTAATCACAATGTCACGTCTCTACGCTGTTTTATTTTTTATTTTTTTCTATAAACTATTTTGACACCAAATTTTGGACATCCAATCCTCTATTTAAGATGGCATGTACCAAATTTTATATTTATATAATTTATATAAAAAAATAAAAATAAAATACTTTGAGACGTTGGATCTAAAAACAAAGGAAGAGTGACTCTCTTAAACAAAATTGGCCACGATGGTAGAGAAAGCATAGATCTTCCCATACTTCAAAACCATCCCATACATCAAAACCTTCCCATACATCAATCTGTGCATGGTATCTAACATGGGTGGCAGGCACATCATGATCTTATTACGAAATGATTGGTTCTTGTGAGTTGACCCCCCGTCTTTCTCGCAGTCCTTTTCGGTGTTAATGCCACATTCCCTCTACCTCCTCAGTTTAGATCCTCGTTGCTCTCCTCCCTAACATCTCCCCTATTCCTCTTCCTATTCTTCTGTTCCTGAACCCCTGACCTAAGACCAGGCTCTCTCTCTCTCTCTCTCTCTCTCTAATGAATAATACCTAATTTCATTGATCAGTTGTACAGACAGTAACATGCCTCTGATGAATAATACCTCACTTCCCATCCTCCCTTTGTCCGTGTCTTTCTCTACTGACTTTCATTTCCTTTCATCTCTCTCAGACACACGCCAGGAAAACCTGCAATGGCTACTCCTAAGGCTCCAAGAAACTCACTTCTCCATTCTTTCAATTCATTCTCACTTGGGTCTTTTGTATCTCGGATTTAGGTCCTTTTTTATATGATTCTGTGTCCTTATTTTCTCTATCTTCATCTCACGGAGAGACTGATTCTTCAGTAATATCACACGGTTCATAGGATTGTTATTCACCTCATGTTCAAGTTTAGCTGAATTTGAAGCTGGTCTTGAATAGTTTCTTGAGAGATTTTTTACTGTGTTAGTGCTCTTATTGCTATCCTAAATTTTCCTTAGGCTCAAAGAAACACACTTCTCCCATTTGATCCTCAGGCTCATTCTCCATTCGGTCCTGTGTCTTTCGTTCAGGCTTCATTCCATGATTTTGTCTGCCTCCTTATTTTCTCTCTGAATTCCATTCATTCTTTAGTTTGCCTACTTTTCTCTCTCCGCACCTCATTCATTCTTCAGTGTTATCATGTACTCCATGGATGTCTAATTGCATTTGACGAATACGATTTGGCCTTCGTATGATGACCCTGTCTTTGCAAGATTGATATCATTTCATTGACATTTTACTTGGGTTTATGGTTTGATCTAGTCTGAGAAAATGGGTTTTAGTAAGAATTCTCGAGCCAATAGAAGATCCTCCTCCTCTTACTGCTCGACTATAACAATGACAATGTTCGTGTGTTTCTGCCTTCTCGGTGTTTGGATGCTCACCTCCTCAGCAGTTGCTCCAGGCCAAAGGGGAGGCTTTGCACAATCAACAATCAGAAAAGAAACAAGAACCCAAGTCTCGAGTTCTCGAGCATATGAAGATAATCCTGGTGATTTACCAGATGATGCCATAAGAGGAGATGAGCAAAAGTCAGGGACAAATAAACCAGATGATCAAAATGAAGATGAACCTTCTATGGAGAGTCCTTCCAAAAATGGAGGTGAGAGATCAGAGGGTGGAGGAAATGCAGGGTATAATAATGAAGAACCTGATAAGAATTCTGATCAAATCTTGGTTGAAAGAAATGATGGTGGAAATCATGAATCTCATTTGGAAGAGAGAGAAGAGGCAAAGGAATTGGAAGGTCGAGAAAGTGAGCCTGAACATAATTCTGAGCAACCCATAGAGGATGAAACCAAGAAACAATCAACAGAGGAGAAAGAAAAGAGTAATGAAGATCAAGATAGCCAACAAGAACCAGAGAAAGGAGAAAAACAGCAGTCTCAAAGAGAGGAAAGTGCAGAGTATCAGCAGTCTCAAACAGATGAACGCAATGAAAATCAGAGTGCACAATCAGAGGGACAGGGAGAAAATCAACTAGAGAGCCAATCAGAGGATAAAGAAGATAGCCGGGAAGATGGTCAATCAGATGAAAAGGAAGAGAACCAACAAGCGATTCAAAGTGAGAAAGAAAATGAAAAGGAAGATACTCAACAAGAGGATCAAAGTGAGCAAGAAGATGCGGAGAACCAACAATCTGCAACGGAAGAGAGCACTGAAAAGGAAGAGTTCTCTGGTGAGGAAGCAAAGGGGTGGACACAATCTCAAACTACTGAGAATCAACAGCAATCTCAAGAAGAGGAAAGAGCAAATGACTCAAGCATGAACGATTCATTCCCTAATGGATCACAGTCTGAGATATTGAATGTGCCCAAAGCGGAAAACGGGTCATGGGCAACCCAAGCTTCACAGTCACAAAATGAGAAGAAAAGGCAAAATGAATCTCATGCTAACAATCAAGGATCAGCTGAGAAAGAAGGGAGCATATATGATTATACGTGGGAGCTCTGTAATGTAACTGCAGGCCCTGATTATATCCCTTGTCTTGACAATGAACTCGCTCTCAAGAAGCTTCATAGCACTGGGCACTATGAGCATAGAGAGAGGCACTGCCCTGAAGAAAGCCCAACTTGCCTGGTTCCACTTCCTTGGGGCTATAAAAAATCGCTCGAGTGGCCTGGGAGCAGGGATAAGGTATGAGATTTTTCAGTTTGGTTTCTTTTTACCTCTTCATAGAGATGGAAACACCGACCATGAAACAACCGAGCTCCATTGGGCCTTCACTGTCCAATAATATGAAGGATGGTGATGGGGAGAGTGGCAGCCACCACTGGAACAAGTTTATTCTAGTGGGTACCACTGTTCTCCATCATCGTCAATCATTTAATGATTTAGTGATTGACCACTTGGGTGAAAATTCTCAAAACGTTCATAGGATTAGGGAATATCAATCTTATTATACTTCATAACGGACCCCAATTAGTCGGGAAAAAGCTTTGATGATTATGATGAATCTTATTATATTTCATGATTTTAACAAATTTGTGTTTGTACATGCCTTTTCAGATATGGTATCATAATGTTCCTCACACTAAGCTTGCAATTGTAAAGGGGCACCAAAATTGGGTAAAAGTTACTGGAGAATACCTTACTTTCCCAGGAGGTGGGACTCAGTTTATACATGGGGCTCTCCACTATATTGACTTCATTCAACAGGTGAATGAACGCTTCTGGTGTTTATTATACTTTTTTCCTTGTTATTTCTGGCTATTTATCTCTTTTTATGCCTGCTGCATAAAACCTTTTCTTTTGTGGTCTTTACGCTCACCCTCTAGGAAGATTTACCTTCATTGTCTTTAAAAGAGCGAGGACATGAAGTTTGGTCCTATTTTGAATTATATATATTCCAAATAACTCATCCATGAGTGAGCATTAACTCAGTGTGAGTCAAGCGAAGCTGATTTAAGGTTAACCATCACGGGGTTGCTCAGGAATTTAACACATCAATCTATTTGGACACAATGACTATAGGCACAAAGGTCAAATTTTTGCCATAGGCATAAAAATAGAAGTCAAGGAAACACATATTACTGAAAAATAAGGCTGAATGGACGCCCATTCTCCTCTCTCCCGACCACCAAAATCAGATGCATATCCACCACCATTCAAAGATGATCACGAAAATTCTAGATATTTAGAAAGCTAATGCATGCATTTGCCCTTGCAAGTCATTGCTCTCTTATCAGGCTAAGTCATGCAACTTGTTGCCCAATGTCGGCCAGTAGGTATTGAAAAGTTTCTTTGAAGCCAATAATCTCAACTAGCATATTTTAGGTTATTAGGAAATTCAGTATGTGCCTACAACTTTAAGAGAATACGAGCTAAGCTTTATGGTTTATAAGTAATTTGACTTGGAAAGAATATCGATATAGGCTACGACATGAGTTGTCATTTTGATATGGGATTGGGGCAGTTTCTGAATATAGCAACGTGGAAAGAAAGAATGCTACTTGAGAAATGACATAGGATTGACCATGTGCGTTCCTCACTTTCATGAAATATTGAGAAACAGTGAGTAAACCCTGGATCAATGAACTTAGCTCATTCACCCACAACTGCAGCTGGTTATCATTTGCCAGTGAGAACAAGGAGGAGAGGGCATTGCATGCTTTGTTTAGTAGTGTCTTTAATTCTTTGATGTAGTCCATGGGCTCCTTCTAAATCGATGCTTGTAGGACATACACCACTTTTCCCTCTCGGATCTTCCACGTCTACAAGGCCTCTCCATTTTCAACTTCTACTGCCGCTGCGACAGTGTTGCTGCCAGTCACCATCTCCTAGAGGTCTTGCCCTTTCAATTTCAACTCCATATAGGATCGCCAATCAATGTAGTGGTGGCTGCGGGAGCTTTTCGATTCCAGCCAACAAGCTTCCATTGTCCACCATATCGACCATGTTTCCTTCAATCCCGATCTTTATTTATCAATGCCCTCTCTCTCTTGTTCTCTCTCTCTCTACTGTAATGCTCTAGCTACTGGAACAAAGAGACAGAATATCTTGTGGAGATTATAAGATTCAACAGTAGCCCATATAGTAATTTTGTGGAGGTTATAAAGGACACTGGTGGTTACAGTTTAGTTGAAGGACTATGTCTTAACTGAAGGATTGTGATCTCCCCTTACTTTATAGGATTGAATTTGTAGTGGGAGGTTATCCCTCTTGGGTTTCTATGGAGGCTATTCGTGGAATGTAATATGTAAATAAATAAAAAAGAGAAACAAATAACAATAGGAAAAAGTTTATATAGAGCCGTGGCTCTAAACAATCAAATTAGAGGCCACCTTAAAAATTTCACTAGAAGAGGTTGTTTTGATGCCCCAAATATCTTCAAATTGATCATCTCGACATCAAGATGCATGGACATGAGAAACAAATCGATATACACTATTTTTGAAGCTTTAAATTTATAATTAAAAATAAAAATATATTTTATTAAGGCTATTACAAATATTTCCAGTATTGAAACCACATTTCTCGATACTATTTGAAGTTGTGCTTTACTTTGATTGTTTAAATTCTCGGCTCTACACAAACCACAACCATAACAATATGAGGGAGAGTTCTTTCTGGGAAGTCTAGAGACTGGAGAATTTATAATAAGGTGTCGTCAACATTGGTTCTCCTTAAAATCCAAAACTCTAGAATGAAGACAATGGAGTGTGTGAAAAAATGCAAATCATGTCTGTTGTTATCTGCATCATTTGTAAAGCTCACCTTAGTCCAATGATTATCACTACCTTGCATGTTTTCTGCCAACTGAACTCTGAAACATTCATTATTCTCATTGATGTTTTGGTAGATTTAGGGGATGAGAATCATTTGTAAGTTTTTCATCTTAAATTATTCAGTGATCTCATAGATAGTACAGTTTGGTGTAAGGGATCATGTTTCTTGAAAAGCTGATGTGGGAGAGAAAGGCTAGCAGTTTAAAATGTCATAGAGTAAACAAATTTTATTAAGGAATCTTCGGGAGCAGATGAACTTTACCTCAGTTACAATTTCCCATGAAAGTGTATTTCTGTGTGCCTGATCAGCACAAAGGACCTTGAAATCTTAGAGAACCGAAAGATATTTCAACTCACCATGTCGATTTCTTTTGCAGTCTGTACCTATCATTGGTTGGGGGAAGCACACTCGTGTAATTCTCGATGTGGGTTGTGGAGTTGCCAGTTTTGGTGGCTATCTTTTTGACCGAGATGTTGTCACCATGTCTTTTGCACCCAAGGATGAGCATGAGGCCCAAGTTCAATTTGCACTTGAACGTGGCATCCCTGCAATATCAGCAGTGATGGGTTCTCAGCGCCTCCCATTTCCAAGCAGGGTCTTCGATCTCATACATTGTGCTCGTTGCAGGGTTCCTTGGCATGCTGATGGTTCGTAACTCAATAATTAAACATGAGTAATTCGTTATTTTCTCTTCAAAATTGTACTCAGAACCAATGGACAATGGGAACAGCATAGCCCAGTTATTGATCGTTGTCCATGTAAAATGGTAGATGGTGAAGGAAGTGGGACCGACCCAAATAAGACATGATCTCACACTCACCATCTGTTGTTCCAACGAATGGAGATGATGCAATAGCCTGTGGCTATTCCACAGTCCAGGGGATTATAGTGCACTTCAACATCTTCTCTTCTAGTCATTTGTCTGTGCGTATTGATAAAGACTGATAAAAGCTGACAAGCAGGTGGTATGCTTCTTTTGGAGCTCAATCGAGTTTTACGACCTGGTGGCTTTTTTGTGTGGTCGGCCACTCCTGTATACCAGAAGCTGAAAGAGGATGTTGAGATTTGGAAGGGTACGGTTTAGGTTGCCATACCAGCACACTTATTACTACTATTATACTTAAATCATCATATTTTGTCTATATGTTTGTTGAAATTAATAATGACCTGACATAAAAGGAATCTTTTATTTCAGAAATGACAAAACTCACAATATCCATGTGCTGGGAACTTTACAAAATCAAGAAGGATCGCTTGAATTCTGTGGGTGCTGCAATCTATCGTAAACCCTTCTCAAATGATTGCTATAACAACAGAAAACACAACAATCCCCCTTTGTGTGACAAAAAGGATGATCCTAATGCTGCATGGTGAGGGTCCTTTCAAGGAGATGGTTTTCCATGGAAGCCATAGTCCATTGGGTTTTATGGAAAACCATAATCCTTTAGGGTTATTTTTGTGTTATGGAATGATGGACAGTGAAGGAGGAGAATTGAGACTCATAACTGGATTTGTCCTGTTCTGGCTGCATCACCATCCACATTTGATGGCCCCAATGGAATAATTGGTTTCCCATCCTCCAGTGGATTATAAACTTTATGTAGTTTCTTTAAAGCCAGATGGTTTGAAACTTTTCCTTTTTATTGGCATTTCTAGGTATGTTCCTCTGCAATCGTGCATGCACAAGGTGCCAGTTGACAATGACGAAAGGGGGTCAAGGTGGCCTGAGGAATGGCCCCAGAGGCTAAGGGCCATACCTTATTGGTTAAACAGATCTCAGATAGGAGTCTATGGAAAACCAGTGCCAGACGATTTTGTAGCAGATTATAAGCACTGGAAACGAGTTGTAAGCAAGTCGTATATCAGCGGGTTGGGCATAAGTTGGTCAAGTGTAAGAAATGTTATGGACATGAGAGCTGTTTATGGAGGGTATGTATCAATATCTTGTGATGAAAGCATATTCATTTGTGAGTTGATGGCTCATTTTCCTAAAACTCAGCATCTTTAAATCAAACCACCCATCCTGTACCATCACATGCATGGTCAGTGGCATCTTGATAACAAGTATTTCATGGAGGTATGTGTTTATCATGTGGTTTTACAAATTGATGCAATGTTTCCAAAAGTAAAGATACCATCTGAAAATCAAGTCACCCATCATCTACCATGAGTTATAACTCACTAGAAGGGGACATTTATTTCGTGAGGAAGTTCTCTCTAGGGGAGAACTTTCGCAGCGGATCACTGCTTTTACATGTTTGTTTCATGGGAAATGGTGAATGGCATAAGAAGTATTCATACACCTATATAGGCATGAAAGTGCTTTCCCATGGTGGACCTTTATCCTGAGAAGGCTCTCCCAGGAGAGAACTGTCAAATAAAACAAGCATCCTCATAGTCTTCATGGTAAAGCTCATTAGTTTGTGGATCAATGGCTCATGTTTCCCAAAAATAAAAATGCCATCTCTGTTTCAATGCTCCCATTTTACCATAAAACGCATGGATCACTAATACAATCTTTATAATTGTGTGAATCACTAGTAGTCTTTCAAGTAATTCATTAAAATATCATACTAACAAAGGTGTTTGCAGGTTCGCTGCGGCTCTAAGTGAAATGAAAGTTTGGGTCATGAATGTGGTGAACGTAGATTCTCCAGATACACTCCCCATAATCTATGAGCGTGGGCTTTTTGGAATATATCATGACTGGTGCGAGTCCTTCAGTACTTACCCAAGAACCTATGATCTTCTCCATGCTGATCACCTGTTCTCTAGGCTTGACAAAAGGTAAGGGTGACGGCCCTTTATTTTTTATTATGTTTTATGGTATTCCAAGGCTACATGCACCATCCATTTCACACTTTCACTTAAGAGATATTAGGATCTGGTACCAGAAAGATATTCACAGGATATCATTAATCTCCAACCATCAGGTAGTGGGAATGGACAGTGGATGTATTCTCATCGTATCATGTAGTAGTCCAATGGACTATTTATTCTTCCACTTTTGATTTTATACCTACTTATTTGTCACTTTGCTCGTGTATTGGTAGGTGCAATTTAGTTGGCGTTATGACTGAGGTGGATCGAATACTTAGACCAGGTGGTACAATCATAGTTCGAGATGAGTCCGCAACTGTGAGTGAAGTTGAGAACTTAGCGAAATCTCTTCATTGGGAGGTTAGTTTGACATTTTCCAAAGATAAAGAGGGAATGCTGTGTGCAAAAAAAACCATGTGGCGGCCAGAGAACGCTTCAGGGTCATCCTAATTAGTGTTTGTAAAATTTTGTTTAAAATTTTTGCCTTCAGCTTCAAATATGTACTTGAAAATTTGTAAGGATGCAAATCATAGCGTCTGTAAGGTTTAAAGTCTGTAACGTAGTAATGCTAGAGAGACTGATGAAATATTTCAGTATTTAGGTGTTGGAATTAGGATCCGATTGTTTGAGCTTTTATCTTGTTTCAGTGTATAATTAGAAGAGAGCTATAGTGTATTGTGAATCGAAGAATAATGGGGAAAGAAGCCTTGATTTTGAGCTAAGTTTGATTGTTTTCATCTCTCTGTCTCTCTGTCTCTCTCATATGGAAGTTCTTAGCAACGTACCACAAGGGGCAAACCTTATACATCAGATTAAGCGACCACAAAGATTTCTGGACTTCTTAAGCCCTATACAGCTTCAGCCAGTGCACTAGAGCATTTTCTCAAGCAACATTTCCATGTATATCATCTCCAAAGCTGGCCCCATTTAATGGGCCTATATAACACGTAATTCTTTTTGTTATAGTACTATAGTAAGGAAAAATATACAAAGAGACCATTTAAGTTTGGTATAAGGAAGTAAAAAATACTCTTTGTCCATCAAATTTCAAATCGGGTGGTTATAAGAGTGTTATTGACTAGATTCAAAGTTTTAAAAAAAAGTTTATAGAACTTTGTGATACATTTCAAGCCATCCAATTTAACATCTAGTGGCTAAAAGTAATTGTGACCTCGTACATAGTATACAATTTCACATAATATCTAATCAAACATTTTGAGAGAGAAAGAAAAATGGTGAGGGGCAGGAAACAGGTAAAATACTTAACCAATACTTTTTCCCAAAGGAATGTGTGTAAATGACCATTATGTTATACCACACCAGTACTTTTTCCCAAAGGAATGTGTATAAATGACCATTACGTTATAACACCATAAATAAGAGGAGCAAATGCCTGTGGACCCCCAAGGCCCAATTAGATTCCCATCCCATTGACAGCTTTGGACCATAACATCCTCATGTATACGTTATCAAGGTCATAGATTTCGGATTTCCCCCAACTTAGGTGGCACACTTAAGTTTTGATATTTTTACAAAAAAAAAACCCCTAAAACTAAACTTACAATGCAACTTACCCCCACTTAAGGTTTTCTCTCACTTTTTTTCATAAAATAATACTTCCTAACAAATACCCCCAACCATCCCAAAAATTAAAAAAAAGGCAAAACTACCCATACTTTACCCTTTACCCACGCCTCTCTCCTACACTGTGTAAGTGCGCTCCGGCAGTGTAACACAGCACTCCGGCACTGTGTAAGTACGCTTCGGTAGTAGAACATTATGAGTCATAGGGTTCCGACACTGTTTAAGTGCGCTCCAGCAATGTGCTACGGGAAGGCACAACACTCCGACACCATATAAGTGCGCTCCAGTAGTGTAACACAGCTACGTAAGTGTGCTTTGGCAGTACAACACAGCGCTCCGGCATTGCGTCAATGCACTCCGGTAGTGGAGCATTATGAATCACAGGGCTCCGACACTGTTTAAGTGCGCTCTGACAATGTACTACAAAAAAAACATTTTCGTCTAAAAAAATGAATTTTTTTCCCTTCGGGGTATTTACATAAAAATTGTTTTTTGAAAAAAAGTGAAAGAAAAAATTATCCGAGCAAGTTGCATAAAAAGTATATTTTGAGAGTTTTTTATAATTTTCCCATTTAGTTTTATTTTGATTTTTTTGTTTGTTCGTTTTTCTTCCAAAGTTCGAGACCTCTAGAAGATATCTATCCATTCTGAGTTTGAGTGAGTTTGAGTGCTCAAGCATGTCAATAAAAAAAGGCATGGTAACTTTAAACAATCCAATTAAAACGCGCCTCCAAATTTTATCATAACACGTAATTTTGGTGAAAGAAAATGTTAAGATTATCTCAAAATCTACTTTCATGTATGAATATAAAAAATATAGATTTTGAGTCCCAAAAATAGTTCATCTTGAAACACATTATCTAGACCGTCCATTTTCAAGATTTTCATATGTTTTTATATTTACTTGATTTTAACCATTTTTGGAGTTTAAAAATTTATAATTAAATATGAAAATAGATTTTCAGATGACCGTAAAAAAAATTTACACCAAAATTACATGTTAAGATAAAATTTGGAGGTTCACTTTAATTGGATTGTTTAAGGTTGCAACCTTATAAAAACCACACCCCGAAAAAAAAAAAAAAAACGATGCATATTGTATGCAAACAACATAAAAATTCAACACCGTGATACATGTAGATGACATACCGTAATCCAATGAACTAGAGGAGGAACCACAGCTCATTCGATCAACACCATCCAGAACAGATCACGACACCAATGGTGGATCGTCCATCACCGCGCATCATGACAGGAATGGTGATGTCCAATGAAATATGGCTTTCCCATGGTCCTGTGGATTATATTATAGTTTTCCTGATGTATTTCTCTTCAGTGACTCACGATCGCTGGTAAAGCAAATATAAGCATAAAGAGATGGTGCAACAGCTTTCTGTTCATTGTCTCATCAAAGAAGAACAACTTTTTCTTTACTTTGGGTGGTTTTGCAGTATGCGGATTTAGTCCAACAAAATGGCAAGTAAAAGGTGATAAAATGGTGCAATCCTCTGCCGAGGACAGTCTACTACAGAAGCAGTACCTCCCAAACTTCGTCGACTCTCTTTTTTGCAATCCCTTACAACTTTGTCGGCTCTTCTTTTGCAATCCTTTACAATCTCCATAAGCCAGGGCTTTGACCCCATCGTTATGTCAAATAAGTTCAAGCCCAATATAACTAACAGCTTAGGCAGGAAGTTCCCATCAGGAATTCAGCCTACCATCATGACCGGTGTGCACCTCGGCTAGTTATTACTAAAACCACATCTACCCTTGGATTTAGTTCCAATAAGAGCCCCAGCTATGATGCATTACTTTCAACAGAAGAAGCTTCATGTGAATTTGTTACTGTACCCAAGAGGCATCCAACACCTTTGCCATGAAACTATATCTATCAGCAGCTTCATCAATCTGTGGAGAAGACCAATTGGCAGGAATTGGGCAAAATGTAAACAAGACGGACTACCAGTAAAATAGAAAATAAAACAACACAGAGATATGGGTTCCAAGTGGAAGGGAAAGAGGAAGAAACAAACCAATTTTTGGGTAGGACGGCCAGCACCATGGCCAGCCTTGCGATCGATTCGAGCAATTATTGGATTGGTTTGAGGACTGTTCTCCAGGCTTGAGCACAGGACATGTTGCATAGTCTGCAAATCAAAACCATCATCATATGGTAAGTTGTACAATAGTGTTATACGACTTCACAAGGGTAAGCTGCATAGCTTGTGAGTTAAAGATTAAAAGTTTCATTACAAAGATCGTTAATGGGAAGTGCATCATACAAAACCTGTGTGGTATATGGTACACAGCCAGTGCATCCACTGTTCATTCTCACCACAAATGGAGAAATTAACTGTAGTTCACAGTGATGAACTAGATACAGTATGGTTAATCTCCACCATCAGTTTAAAATTACAGTGGGTGTATGGTTATGTACTTATACCATGGATAGACACTTTTTATTTTTGTTAAAGAATGGCTGGATATCTAAGGATGAAGAGAACTGATTAGCTAAGTGAACACATACCACCTTTCTACATGGTAGAGAAACAACACAATTTGGAATTGAAAATATGGATTATGGACAAGAAGTTTGCCACTTAAATCAACTATTATGGAAAAACCTCATCGGTGTGATAAAATCCAACAAAATTCCCAACCATATAAACACATCAACAAGTCATTCCACAGCTACATATGCTTTCCCTTGTTTGCTCTTTTGTTCCTAAAAGAACACGATCGCGACATGCTTATATTGCACCAGTATAACAATCAATGGATATAAAAATTATGCATCAATGGGCTACACTCCCATAGCTTACAGGTTTGAAACTCTCAGTCCTCTCTCTCCACTTTATGTTGCAAGATCGAATCCCAAAAACAGAGTAACCCAGAACAGAAGGTTTAGATTACAAGTAGGTCCAAGTAACCATTAAGCATTCTAAAAATAGATATCCAAATGAGGGAACACACAACCATATGGAGTTTGCACTGCATAATCACATGGAACATATTACTTCAAACGGAAAACATTGATCTTTGAAAGGGCCTCCACCCAAGTATTTGAATAATCCCTCATTTTAAAGATAGGTCAATAGCCAAATTGAGATTCCAACCCAGTTGGATACGCATGTGCAGGCCTAACTAGGGGAACACAAGGATCAGTTCAATTTTTTCAAACCCAGAAATGCTATTTGCAAAAGGAACGGGGTATTAAAGGCATAATTATCTTTCTTGTAGTCCTTTCATACAGTTGAACATGATTATCCAATCTCCAATTTTTACCAATCTTATCAATCCCAGTAAGGACCAGTATCAACTAACCACAAGAAGTTCTGCTAATGCATTTTGGATAGATGTTACCAGTCTACTAGAACTGTATCTAGTAGTATTAAGGATATGTTCAGCCCACAAGACCTGAGTTTCTAGTCGATAAGAGCCCTATCTCCAGTAGACCAAATTTTGTTCAAGTTAACCTTAACCATGTCACCAGAATCCAGAAATGAATTTCTGGTCAATAGAAACCATCGCATGAATCTTGTCCCCACAGAGACATTCTAAATTGCACAAATTGATGAAAGGGAATAGATATGAACATTCTACATCTAAGAAAAGCATATCTCAAATGTCTTACTGCCAATAGTTTCAATGAATGAAGTGGCACCACACGGTCATCATGATCAGCAGTCAACAGCATGGTTGGTGGATATTGATATGATTTTCCATTAGACTGCTCCCATGGCCTTTTGACATTATGCAGTGGGGAGTATCTAAAATCAGACAATACAGTAATTAGAAACAAACATATAAAAGAGCAATCTGAAAAAATCAAAAGCAGCTCAACATTAAAACCAGCTGGGAAAATACTCCCATTTGCACAAACAATATTTATTTGTATATATATAGCAGGTGTTTTTCAATATCTAGAAGGGAAATGGCAATATAAGCCAATGAACTACAGGAAACCTCGAGTCATCACCGTCAATGTGATGAACAGTGGTCGAGAGGGTGGACCCACCACTGGGGTCATGTCCTGTTCAAGTGGGTCCTGTCACTACTACCCCCCCCCCCCCCCCCCCCAACTGGACTTCCATAGTCAATTGGATACATCATCCACATTCCTTGCATAGAGATGCACTCAAGTCATTCATGAAAAAGTAAGTACTAAGGCCATGGATAGGCTTGCTAGTGAAAAACATAGACAACCAATAAGCAACAGTGTCCGTACTTGATTAGCCAATGAAATTCTTCATCCTTGTCTGAACAACCATAGTCAGAAGTCCATGCATGACCTACAAAAAAGGAAAAAAAATAGAACGTAAAAGGAGGTAATTATTGACCCCTGGGCCTCAACATACAAGTAAGAAGCAGAAATTCCAGAGAATGACTACTTACCAATTGTGAACTTATGGAAACGCAACATGTCCATAACACCAACATGAGCAAGAACACATCCAAACAGATCAGGTCTCTGCTTCAAACAAGATTACCATTTGATTAAATTTCTAAAGAATACATCAACTAAAAGAAACATATTTAATTAGTTCATTCTTATTTCCTCCAAAGTATCTAAAGGTGAAATTATTCAATCCCTATGAAATAAGTTTTCCAAAAATTTTGAAAAATGGAAATTTGAAATGAGTAAGCAGCTATTGACAAGCGACAGTGTAAACCAAAGAGCATGAACACATGTCAGATTTTGTGCATATGATAGCTTAAAAAATTGGACCTGATTCATGCATGCTGCAACTAGAAGCCCACCATTGCTTCCTCCTTCAATACACAACCGTTTTGGCTGGGTGTAACCCTCAGAAACAAGATATTCAGCAGCAGAAATGAAGTCATCAAAGCAATTTTGTTTCTTCGAAAGCGACCCTGCTTTATGCCATTCTTCCCCATATTCTCCACCACCACGAATATTTGCAATGCAAAAGACAGCACCAAGATGCCTCGTTAAGACAATACGACTAACACTGAACGATGGCGTGAGGCTGATGTTAAAGCCACCATAACCATATAGTAAACAAGGATGTGACCCATCCAAAGGAATACCCTTCTTGGAGACAATGAACATTGGTATCTTGGTCCCATCCTTACTAGATACAAACACCTGTTAATAGTTAATACCAATACCAATCAGAAAAAAACAGACCAAAAACTGTAATTGAATGAAGCAATTTCCTGGCAAAGCTCTTTATGTTAAATAAGCAATAATTTAGCTTTCTGTTTCTAATAGTTAAACTTATTATAAATTAATTTTAGCAGTTCATGAATATACATTGTAATAACTTAATTTTCCTGACAAATATAGTTTGATGTGTTTTTCAGGGAGGGATATTATAAGACACAATCTTACCTGGTTAACCTGGAATTCCGTGCGATCAAACCAGGGAACATTAATCTCTCTGAAGATTCTCATTTCTGGAACATCAGCATCCAAGTTGCACTGATAAATAATTCCTGGGGAAAGAAAGCTTGTGAAGCCAACAAAAATCTCCTTATGTTTGCGTCTTCCAAAAACCCCATACACGGTTCCGATTTCTATTGGCAAGCGATGGAGAAAATGACCCGTTTTCAAGTTCCTTGTATGTAAAACATATTTGACATCGCTCAAGTAACTCATAACTAGTTGATTTCCATTGACACATATAGCTGATTCAAGCACATCTCTTTCAGATTCAGGGACAACATCTGTCCATAAATTGGGCTCCTTGAGGTCTACTCGAACTAGTTTATACTTCGGGGCATCTTTGTTTGTTAAGAAGGTGAAAATAGTGTCATCATTAGCAACAGTACGATAACTAGCATCGAAATTGTCTACAAGTTTAACAAAGGGTAGCATGACATTTTCCCCTTTGAAGCCAGCAAGTCCTTTCGGAAGATCAGATAAATCACAATAGTAAAGCTTGTTAACAGGATCACAGCCCTCTTCAATATCTAGAAGAAGAAACTGCACATACCAAAAAAAATGTAAAGGTCAGCTCCAAAAACTGTCATTGTTTTCTTCTTATTACTAATTTTATGGCAAAAAAGATAAAGAGTACCGATAGTCATATAACTATATAGAAATCAAAGTGGAACATAAGATAATTATGCTACTTGCATGTGCAATGACTTGAGGGCTTCCTTGGCATTAAAACTCCACCAAACATGAGATGCATGGGTAACGGTTATGTCCATCCCATTTTCCCTAATTTTTATTTTTCCCCTCTCAGAAAGAGATTTGTCCAATAAGGAAATTTGCCAAGCCAACCCTTTTCTCCCATTTTCAATACTCAAACATCAAAAAGGAAGTACAACCTTAGACAATCCAATTAAGTCACACCTCCAAAGCTCATCGAAAGATATAAGTTTGGCCTCAAAATTTCCAATGACGACCTAAAGTACTCACATCTAATTATGAAATTTGAAACTCAAAAAATTGGTTTAGATCAAGCATATCTACAAATATATGAAAATCTTGAGAATGGATGGTGTAGATAATGTATTAGAAAACGTACCATTTTTTGGACTTCAAAATCTTTTCTTTTTTTTTCACATCCACGAATGTCGAGGTTGAGATAATCAATTAGAGGGTTTTTTACCATCAAAACAACCTTTTCCGATAGATTTTTAAGGCGTCTTTTTTCTATAGTTTCAGGTTGCAACCTTATATAAACTTTTTCCTTCAAGAAAAAGCCACATGGAACAAAAAATTTGTCTAAATCATCATCATCAGAGCCTTTTATCAAGGAACATAAGTCCCCCATATCTTTACTCACTACTTCCAACCATGTCCTTTTGGGTCTACCCCTTGCCTTCTTTTACTTGAGCCCAATGTTCAAAAAAGCGGAGGCGGCCGCCTAGGAGGGCAACCAGAGATAAAGGCAGCCTACCTTTTGACCAACTCGCACCTCTTGACAAGTGTTGTACTGGATGTGCACTGCACATGACCAGCCCACTTAAGTTGACTTTCTCTCATCTTATCGCCTATTGGAGACACACCTAAGTTCTTCGAAATATATTCATTTCGAATATTATCTCTTCCTGCCTTGCCACTCATCCATCTCAACATCCTCATCTCAACTACACTCATCCTACATTATGTTGTTTCTTGACTGCCCAACATTCTATCGCATAAAGCAAAGATGGTCACACGGTTGTCCTATAGAACTTCCCCTTTAGCTTCATTGGTATGCGGCGATCACATAAAACTCCGGTTGCACATCTCCACTTCACTTACCCAGCTCTAATTCTATATGTGACATCTTCCTCAATCTCTAAATTTTCTTGGATTATTGACCCAAGATACTGAAAGTGCGATCTTTTTTATATTTCTTGGCTTTCAATCTTAACTACTTCCTCGGCTCTACTCCTACTATTACTAAACTAACATTCTATATATTGTCTTGGTCCACCTAATTTTAAAACCTTTAGATTCTAGAGCATTCCTCCAAAGTTCTAACTTTATGTTGACGCCGCTTCAGGTTTCATCGATCAAAACTATATCGTCTGCAAACAACATACACCACGGTATCTTATCTTGTAGGTGCCTAGTTATGTCGTCCATAACTAAGACAAAGAGATAAGGGCTCAATGCTGACCCCTGACGTACGCCTATTGTCACTGAAAACTCACTTGTCTCTCTACCAATTTTTCGCACACTAGTTAACACTCCCTCATACATATCTCTCACCAAGTTGACATAGTAGATGGAGATTCATTTCTTTTCCCAATCAGATTTAATTAGGAGGATAAAAATTGAGGCTATTTTTTTACTTAGGTACTCTACCATGTGGAGGTCTTTTACCTTTGCCCTAATAGCCTAAATTTTTGACCTCCTTGCATAAAATTGAATTAGTTTTTAGATACACTCGTTTCCTACCTTTGTCGTTGCTCAATCACTCTCTCCCATTCTTCATAGTGTGGCTTACAAGTTTGATCCCTTGGCAATTCGCACAATTATGCACGTCTCCTTTGTTCTTGTAAATAGATACCATAATAATTTTCTTCCATTTGTCTGGCATTTTCGTTGTTCTCAACATCATGTTGAACAACTTGGTGAGACAAAAACAAAGTATCTAAATCACAATACTATATTGTACCCTAATACTATTCCTATCCAATACTCACAAAGTTCAATATTTATACACAACACTCTTCCAAAAATATCTAATGTATTTCTTGTTGAACTCATACTCCCACCATTTGCACACCGTTACTGAGAATTGTACTTCTCTTGCAAAGGAGTTACCATCAAATAAAGCGGCAATATCTCCTTCAATAGGCACGTGAGAGTCCATCTAAAACTATTGTCCTTTCTCACACTTTATCGTTCCTCAATCTCCATAAACTCCACGAATCAGTACTGGATAAATACATTCAACTCCTACTCTATTTGTGGCCTTTAAACGTCGTGAGAGCTTTTATATATTATTTATAATGGATTATCCACTTTAACGGGAGTGTGTGTTTACTGACCAAGGGTTATATAGTCTATAGCCTTGGTCACGTCCAAAACCCTTACCCCTAAGCATATGGCACTATAGAAAAGGATTTATAGAGGGTCATCACTTGTTGAGGTTAGAAAGATACCTTAGAGAAGAATTTTATGCCAGAAGAGCTGTGTGATCTCTTGTGTGTGAATGTAGACCTGTGAGAATGAGGGCTAAATCTTGAACAAACTTCTGCATAATATGTACATATCACAGCTGCATTAACGGGAAGTAAGCATAAAGAGATACCCATACATGTGCATAGAGAGACGTCCCTTTGCACTATAGTGATGTGTGCTAGACATGCTCTTAAGGGGGGAGAACTATAATCCACATTCCGGGACCATGGTTTCACTGTTTCTTGGCCCTCTTTGACAAGCCACTCATGAGCTCATGCATGAGACTATAGGTCATGGGTCTCGTTGGGTCGGTTTGAGAAGACAGTTGTGGATCACGGTTACTGGGCCAAGTGGAGTGCCATTATATTCACTTATTTTGACCCATTGATACCAATCCACTTCTAAATATTTTTTTTTTCAGTGTTGTAAATGTGCCTGTAAAGTCTAGAAATTTTTAGAATTTTTAAAATTATATTTCAGCATTGAAAACTCCAAAAAAGGTATTTCTAGATTTGTTATAGTGTGGAGGGGCACATGTGGCCCTCTGGATCCAGCCCCACATGTGTGCCACACCACATGGGTGCGGCATGGAGCCCATGGGGCCCACTCCACAATTGTTTTTTGTTTTAATAAAATAAAAGTGTGTTTTGTTAAAAATTAGTTTAAGAAAAGATTATGTCCTTATTTGTCAGAGTTGTAAATATCTAGTTTGACTTAATCTTTTATCTTTTTTGACTTCCTACAATTTTACAAGAGATCAAGGAAGTTCTAGAAAGTTTTTAGATTGGTCTTATCCTAGTTAGCTAGAAGTGGATATGAATCAATATTCCTCTCTAAATGATGATAGCTAATTTATGGGATGGATAGCTCAGAATTAATTTTCTCTCACCTCACATGTTTCATGAATCCTTATTGGTCAAGAAGAGTTATAATTGGATAGGCATACCTTGGGGGGGCTTGAGGCCTATATAAGTAGAGGACCCCCCTCCATTCTCAACACCATTCCATAGCCTCTCTCTCTCTCTCTCTCTTGACCCTCTCCTCCACGCCTCTCGTATCTCTCATCTCATCTCTCTAGCTCTCTCTTTCCTTTCTCTCTCTCTCTAGGTGGCATACAATCCATAAGAAAATGGGGGATGCCACACCTAACCCTAGTTAGGTTTTGAAGAGAGAGGAGACACCCACCCTTAGAAAAGGGAGGTGCCTTATGGCATACCCTAATAGGTTCTAAAAGGGGCCGGATAAACCCTAATGGTTTTCATGCTTCTAAAACCTTAGTATTGTGAGGTATTCCCTTAGGAAGCTTCCTGGATCAGAAAATTCAGCAAGACCAACACGATTATAATTTAGAGCGCCACATCGGTCATGAAATTGGATGTGGGGCATACTAAGTCCTATAAGGGTGATCCTAGGCACATTGGAATAAGTCTTCCCAGCTGTTAGCTTTTATTTTAGTAATAATTTCATATTTTCTTGAATTTTTACAAAGATTATTTGTATTAAAATTGTTTTTTTTATGATAATGTTAACCTTTAATATAAGAGATAGAAAACGTTGTTAGTGGCAACTTGAATTTCATTCTTAGATTGTGTCTATTCAATTTGGCAATAAAAGAAAAGGTCTTAGGATGTATTTAGGGTTTTGTTTCTTATTTATAGCAGTGTTTTGTGACACTTGTAAGTGGAATTTATATTGATTAATAAAAGAAAAGGGAGAAATTTTTTATTTTATTGCCTTGAATTCCATATAGCCACTTCATTCCATATCTTTTTCTCCCTTCTTGCACCCGAAAGGAATGTCAACAGTAGCAACTCGAAAGAGAGGACTAGGATGTTCTCTCGCAGGGTTCTTAACTCTTGCAATCACATTCGATTAACTAATCACCCTGAAAGAGAACACCATCCATATCATTCCGAGGACTAGGAAACACCTAAATCCCACTCATGAAATCAAGCAAGTCAAATATGAACAGTCGGATAAAATAAACCTTATGTTACAGGTTATGAATGGCACCTAGTTATGTATATAGACTGCACTTATAAATTTTCAGAACAAACATTACAATAGGGATAGATAAACACAACTACACATGCACTTACCTTCCCATCTTCAGTGACTTGAGATCCAAATATCCATTTTGGATGTTCTGGATCTCTCCAACACAGTATGTCTTCAGATTGATAAGTACCCAAAAAATGATAGTAAAGCTCATGATTAAGATTGATATTCGTCTCTGTTCCAGCATCCAGTTCCTCCCCTTCGCTGTGAAATTTGATTAGGATAAAGCAACATGAATCTAAACACTAAAGAGAGAACAAATGCACTAAGAAATGGAAAAAATTGAATAAAATTTCACTCACTTGGGTTTTGGATAACGACCATAGAAAAATCCTTTGCTATCATGGGTCCAGCTTATAGAAGAAAACTTAACCTGCAACATACGTAGAGAGGAACGTAAGCTATGCACCAGCGCAAAGAAAAGCATGAACTCTGATTGTATATTTTCTGTCGGCATATAACCTTATTTGTCAAACAATGCTAGAAAAGCTGGTTACCACATGGAAAATAATCGCTTACTAACTATTCCTCAAATTTCAGAAATGCAAATGAGCTCCATTCATCTTGTAAAACTAGCTTCTAATCATATAATCAGAATCTCGTGGCTTACATCATAACAAACACTAGAGTAAGTCGCCAGAGACCTGGGTTCCCAGCAATTTAATTAACTTGCATCGCATTACAAAAGAGCAATGTTGTTTAACCTCATTAAGCTCAATATGCACAAGATGTAGCATTCCAAGAGTTGATTCAAATACTTCAAGAGAGCAACTGTGCAACACAATAAAACTAACCCATTTCAGAGTGTCAGGCTCGGTGGTCTTATCCTCAATACGCATCACATTGATGGTGACCCAATCGCTACCACTTGCACTAAGCCCATAAGCCAGATACTTTGCATCTTCACTTATTGAACAAAGGTTTAATGCAACCGTTCCATCCTCACTAAGGGTGTTAGGATCAAGGAGTACTTCTGCTTTGCTCTCTAAATCATCCTGACAAAACAATAAAGACATTATTTAGAAAGTAGAAGTCAAAAAATTAACCAATTCTAGACATAAGTCAAAGTGCATTTGTATGAATTACCAAGTGAATCAGGTATTGTAAGAGCCAACAAAAACAACTTTAGGTAAAACCCATTATGCCAAACACCTCAAGTACGACACAAGTGGGAAAATAAAGAAAACTATAAATTTGATTAAGTATAATGACATGAATATACCTGAATATATAGGACATTTTGGGCTTGGAGGCCAGTGTTATGGAAGTAGAAGTACTTGTCCCCTCTTCTGAAAGGAATTTCATATCTAGGGTGATCAAAGAGGGTGGTTATCTGTTGCCTAAGCTTCTCCCTTGTCTCACAAGTTTGTAGCACCGATTCGGTTAATTGAACTTGTTTATCAACAAAGTCCTTAACCTCATCTGCTTCAGGGTCCTCCAACCTGCCAAAAACCCCAAATCAATAAATATTTTTAACACCACGATGAAAGCTTTGAAATTTCAGAAAATAAGCAAGAATGCAAAAGATGGCAAGTATCACAGTACATGAAATAGTTAAATATTCAAACAGTTATAAAAAGGAAATAAATTTTCTACAAAAATTTTTGAAAGGCCTAATTGTGATGGATTTACATGAACCAATCTAAGAAATACATATGATAAAATTATGAAAAGGACACGAAATGACAAGAACCAATCATAATATCTGAGATTCCAGAAGAAATTGAAGGCCGCCACATTAAACAAAACTTACAATTGCTAAAATGTTTCAGAAATCCAAAAAAAAACCAACAACTCCATGAAACCAAAGAATAACCATGAAATCATTATACTAGTCAAAAGATTAAAACACACAAGGGACTGCCATAGATAACATGCATGAACCGGACTCCAAATACATGGGTAAAAAAACAAAAGAAAATTAAATCTTGAGGGCATGCCATAATGAAATGGGAAAGAACATCGCCCCACAAGAATTCCAAGAATAAAGCGAAAAAAAATTCAGCGACAGATATAGATGGGTACAAAAGTTATGTACCCACATATCAGAATGGAGAGAGAGTGACAGAGAGCACGTGCATGCAAAAAAAAAAATCAAAACCAAAATACTCAGAAAACTGCAAAAACCCAGGAAAAAAGAAGGACCAAAAACCTCAGAAAGCTGCAAAAAACCAGGAAAAAAAAAAGCCATCACCATGCTCTAAATCAAACACCACAAAACCAAACCTCAGATCAAAAAACAAAAAAACCAAAAGTAAAACCACTCACCATCTGTATGGATCCTCAACCCGAACCCCATGATAATCATCACCGACAGTCTCATCCCTCCTCGCTTCCGGGTACACCGATGTCTCAGTCAATGCAGAGAGAGACCCCATGGCAGCAAGGCAGCGAGTCAACCCCGAGCAGGAGCGAGTCAAACGATTCAGGCAGCGAGTCAGTCTAGTCGTCGAAATCCATGGGGCTGGAGAGAGAGGCGCTTCGGCTTTTATGGTGGGTGGGCGAAATGGGCGGCGCAAGCAATGGGGTGAGAGAGGAGGAGGGTGGGCTAATGATGTTGGCTTGGGTGAGAACATGGCGAGCATGGTTCGAGCCGGTGGGCTCCGTGATGAGTTCAATTCGTGGGCTCGCGGCTCACGGAATGCGGCTCACGCCTCGCCGTTCTAACGAAAATGTCGCCATGGTGTGTCGAGGATGTTGTCATCGTGTGGTAAGATAGTGGAATTCGTGACTTGGGACCATTTTACCAACCATTTTTGGACAAAGTATTCTCGCTTTTGAATCACTTTTTCGTGACGGGTTTCTTTCTCTTGGTTCTCTACGCACTCTCTCTCTTGATTCACGTGAATATGTGCCTGCTCTATTTCTCTCTCTTGTTTCTTTTTTATTTGAGCTCTCTCTCTCTCTAGAATCTCTCTAAAAATGGATTTGGGGCCATGGATGGATACAGGTGGGGAAAGAGCATCTTGAGTTTGCTTTTCTGGATTGGTAAAAGGTTTTGGATTGGAATTTCCTTGGATGGGATCATTTTGGAGATACCATTATGTAATATGACTCACTTTTGGTGTTAGTATTCCGTACTCTCTTTATTGTGATCCTATGCTTACTCCCCACTTCTCCTTCTCTTTTTAGATTATTTATTTTTAGTACAAGAGGTCATAATTTTTTTTACCTATTAGATGTAAACTCTAATAGATTGAAGTGTGTTACAATATTCGAAAATGTTAATCTTAAACTTTGTCTCTCGATAATGATTTTTACAAGATTATCTTCAGATCATTTACCTATTTACGTGGTCACTAATTAGGTGAATCATATGGTACTAGAGCATTCGGGATGGAAATAGGGTAGTTGGGAAGAGAAGGAAATGATAGAAGTAATTAAATACGTGTGAGCCAATTATGTTACTTTTGGATAATATAAAGCATAAGCTAATTGCATAGAAAAAAGAAACCAGAAATTATATCAAAAGTAAAATATAGGGAAAATTTCGTATAGACCTCTAATTCTTCATATTATTTCATGGTAGACTTTCTTTTCTTTTTTTCTTTCACGCAACATTAGGAAACCCATAAAGATTTTACCATACCCCTTCATCTCTTATCTCCCTTTTTTTTATTGACTTTTGACTGTAAAAATTAGCCCCCAACATATCTTTTTATACAATTTCAACCCAAAAACTTTTTAACCATCTTTTTCTCTTTCCACCCATTAAAAAAGTTTTTGAGTTAAAATAATATAAAAAGGTTTATTGGGGCTAATTTTTGTGGTAAAAAAATCAATAAAAGAGGAAAATAAGAGATGATGGGGTATAGTGAAATCTTAAAAGATTTCTTTATGCTACTTGAAAGAAAAATAGAATGAAGGTCTACCATGAAATAACATGAAGAATTAGAGATACTTTGTTGCTCGAATTAGACTTGCGTGAGCCAATGATTGAAAGTAGAGGTTTGTTTATAGAAGAGTGAAGAGATAAAAAGTTTCATCAGATGAATTCACTGCGAGGCCTTATGAGGGTGGAAGAAATATAATGGAGACAGAGGTCAAGAGTGAAGTGGCTAAAGGAAAGTGATCTTAATATCAAATTTTTTCATTTTATTGCAAGTGCTAGGTGTAGGCCGAATGGTATCTCAGGAATTTTTCTTTTTTCAAGAGTGGAAGCTCGAGATACTGATAGGATAGATTTTAAATCATTTTCAAAAAGCTTTCTCTTGTGAATATAATTTTGGTACAAAGATGAGCATAGTCCTTTTTAAGAGATTACCATTACAAGCAGCTAGGCAATTGGAAGTGGATATTCCAAGAAGAGTTGAAGTATGTTGTTGGATATTTCAAGAAGAGTTGAAGAATGTTTTTTTCGCTTTGCCAAGAGATAATGCACCAATACTGATGGGTTTCGATTGGCCTTCTTTCAAAGGTTCTGAAGCTTGATAAAGTAGGAGTTCGTGATGATGGTAAGAGAATTTATGGAGACAGGAGAGATTTTCAGGGGTATAAATTCCAAATATATAACTTTAATACCAAAGAAATCAGTGATTGTAGAGTTGGTGATATTAGACCGATTAGCTTGCTCACTAGCTTTTATAAAGTAATTGCAAAGCTTTTGGCAGGACGAGTTAACGAGGTTTTGCCCTTGATGATATCAGGTATGCAATATGTGTTTATTTGAAACAGGCTTAGTATATATAGTATTTTGATAGCACAGGAATGCATTGATTTTAGAACTTTGAGTGTTGATCTTGAGATAGTCATTAAGCTAGATATGGAAAAGACTTACAATAGAGTTGAACGGCAGATATTGCAAGAGATTATGCAATGCATAGATTTTGGGGATACATGGCATAAGTGGATTAATGGCTGCCTTTCTAATGCACATTTGTCTGTGTTAATAAATGACAATCCCCAAAGCTTTATTAGACTACAAGAGGGATTAGGCAAGGAGGTTCGCTATGACCATTCCCTTTCGCCTTGGTGGCAAAGGCTTGGAGCAGGATGTATAGTAATGTTGAAGAAATGGGATGGGTAAATGGATTTAAGGTATCTACCAATGGCCTAAGTATTTCGCATTTATGGTATGTTGACGGTATTCTAATTTTCTGTGATGCTCATCCTCCATAGATTACCAGTATCAGTGTATTTTTAAGGTGTTGTGAGGTGGCTTTGGGCCTACAAATAAATTTTAAAAAAACTGCCATGGTAGGTGCGACATGCAATAAAGATGCCACGACAAAAGTCTAATGGCATTTGAAATGGTGGCCATAAGGGGCACCCGCTCCAGTCCCAGGCCCAGGCGAAGACCTTCCATGTTTTGGGCTCAAGCCCAGTGGCTTCGCCCCCACAACCTTCTTCATCTTGAATGATGTCATCACTTGGAGTGAATGGCTGGCTTCTTGGGCTCTCTCTTTCTTTCTTCTTTTAACTTTTCGATGCTAGCTATAAAAACACCATGTTGAATAAAGGTTTCCTTCTAGTCATAAATTAAACATTGACTATCTTTTTAGTGCAGACTCTAATTTGGCCTGTTTGGATGCACCGAATTTTGAGAATGGGGCTATTTTCTCCTCACCCATTTCGAAGTGAAAGACTGCAACTAAAATTCCAATTGAAAAAAAAAATTACAACCCAAAATCCAACTTTTAGAAAACAAGAAAAAAGATTATAACTCTAAATTTAAATTTTTTATAAAACAGAATTTATTACAACTCTAAATCTAAAGGGCCGGGTTGCCAAAGAATATGTAACTAATTTGCTATTTACCACTACAATATATGTGGTATGAACTCTTGAGCTTTATTTTCAGCATAGGTAAAATTATGGAACAGCAATGATATTCATTATGATTTTATATTCTTCTAAATTCAATTTCTACTAATTTAAAACATCTAATTTATTCACAGACCAACTTCTCTTCATTTCAATGGAAGATGTAGAATGAATGCGATGGCACATGAAATGTATTTCATTTCCATTTACTCACTTGATTCATTTGAAAAAAAAAAAAATTGATCGATTTTCTTGCATACATCATTAGCAGTTATAATTTTTCTAAATTATTGTAATATATTATTAACGAATCTCCCAGACAAAGATCTCCATATAGTCTTTCAATCGAAGGCCATTGGGATATGGTGTATGAGTTAATCGATTTGCTCCAAAGTGCATGACATGTAATTCATGGAATTTAACGTTAGGGCACAAATAGTAGTCCACATTTGTTCATAGATAAAACTCCTTATCAAAAGAAAATACTTAATATCATCTTTGACAATCAATTTAGAAAGAAAAATACGTGAGCTCTTAAAACCCCAAATCTGATAATGCCGATCTTGGGGGAATGTATCTAGAGCGAGTTTTTGAGCTCCATAATCTTCTCTTTTCTTAAATTGATCTTAGAGATGAATTACTATGGAACAAGGCCATCATTGTGGTCCAGTTGGACACCCAAATCTTTTTCCTTTAATCAATAATTGTAATGATGTTCATATATCTTAGTATACTTCAAGTAGGACCAAATGTATAATTTGGTCTAGTTGGATGCCCAAATCTTTTTCCTTTAATCAATAATTTTAGTGATGTTCATATATCTTAGTATACTTACTACATTATTAAGCAAAAATTATAGGGTAGACACGTGTTACAAGAATAAAAAGAGACCCTAATGCCATAGAGATTATAAGATAGTTGACTTATTATATAGGTCACATTCTTCATCTTTGGGGTTCTTTTGGGGTTGAAGGAGCCAGACGTATATTTTAGGAAGAGAGAGATTTGGAGAGGATATTTGATTGAGAGAGGGAATACATAAAGAGGAAATTGAGAGAGAGATGGAGAGAAAATCATAGCGATAGATTGGCTTTCATCTTCATGCCCCATCTTCAAGGAAAGAGAGAGGGAGAGATCTTCATGCCCCATCTTCAAGGAAAGAGAGAGGGAGAGAGCCTGTTTTTAGAAAATTTGTATATTTATTTAGGAAAGAAAAGTGAGGGGGGGGATAGAGATGTCGATATATATAGCCACAAGGAAAGCCAGACTTATTGGGAGATACAATCAATTAAAATTTAAATAAATATCTTATAGTAAACATGGTGGAGACTACATGGTAAACATGGCGGAGATTACATGATATGTACCAAGATACCGATTGAGAGGTGTGAGAGAAAGTGTTGAGAGAGGCGTGAGAGAGTTTGCATTGTTTATTATTATTTTTTGTTTATTTGTCTTTGATATTTTTTATAGATTTTTTATTGATTTGTCTATTATTATAAATATTTTATTTATTTATTATTATACCGGTATCGATACTAAATTCGTTATGCTTAATGATGCTATATACATTTCTAAAAGGCTTTTAAAATATATCAAAATTTTTATTTATTTATAACCTTAACATCATACATATTATTATATAATTTTCTGAGAATAAATATCAAAGGAACTCTTATTTTTTTATTTTAACTTCTCATGCTTTTAATATTTGCCTATAACTCAGCATCTTGCTCATAACTCAGCATCTTGCTTTGTTAATAAATTAAATATGAAAGTGATTCTTTTTGCAAAAGTTCTATGCCTGAGAAATAGATTAAAGGATTATGACCAATATTCACATTATTATTATTATAAAATTTTAGATATACTAAAAATATTCTATCGATACAACGAGATGGAAAATGTATCCATCTTTTATCTTTTATTTTTTCTTAAATACATTTAATAGATTTAATATTTTTTATGACAATTCATTTCTTATTATTTTTTATAATTATTCGAATTATTTTATACGTATTATTTCTAATCATGAATCCCTACACTTAA